ACACGTCTCAAGCTCAGTTCCTCCCTGACCTCTGGACAGGTGTGGACGAGTGCTGCGAGGACGGGACTGGGGACCGGTGGTCCGCTGGGTATTGGCTTGGTCTGGAGGTCTGTGCCCTCCCCCTGGAGGTGTAAGAGCGCCTGACTTGGGGCCGCACCTCTGTCCTCAGGGGCTGCGCCATCTCCCAGGCGTGCGGATTCTCTCTGACCCCCACGGCCGCGGGAACTGAGGTGTGCTCCTTGCGGAATGTGCTCACTGGGACGCGTCCCTGTGGGCTCTCCCTGTGAGGCTATTGTGGCCCTGCCGTTGGTGCAGGCTCAGTAGTGCGCGTTCTGAGGGGTGTCTGGAACTGGGGAGTCAGCACCCTCCTTGTGAGGGGAGCGGGAACAAGAGCAGGCCTGGCAGGCCCACGGCCCTGTCCCCTCGAAGGCAGAGAGCAGGAGGTGAAGGCAGGTATGCGGTGGGCCTGGGGGCTCCACGCCCACCCCGGTGGTAGCCTGGGCGCCGACAGGATGTGCGGCTCTCAGCCTCAGCTGAGCTGGGAGGGGGTGCCCAGCAGACACGTCTCCTGTGTGCTCTCCTGCCAGCAGGGCCTGGGCTCCCCTCCCCACAAGACCCCTCTCCAGGCACCGCCCTGCACCCCCCACCATCAGTGCCCTGCATGGTGGCTGTGGGGGAGGGTCTGGTGCCAGGTGACAACTCAGGGCTCTGCTACACCTTACACGCCTCTCTGTCCATCCCGCCAGCCTCACGCTGACCCGGAGGACGTGCATGGAGTTGGCGGGTGGGTGGCCCTGCCCCCGGCTCCCCATACTCACCTTTCCCACTTCTTGTGGGTCAAGGGCTCTGGGGTGGAGAGCCAGCGCGACCCCTCCCACTCCCTTACTCCCACCCCTTCGTCCCTGGGCCACCTCAGGGTGTGGAAGAATGGCCCCAGTGTGTCCCTCCCCCTCCCCCCTCAGGGTGTGGAAGCTGTGTCCCTTGTCCCCTTGGCCACCCCTGGAGCCCACCCTGGCAGCAGATGCCTGCGTAGACACTTAGGCCCCCGTCTGCAGGAGGTATGGTGTGGCGGCTCTCCCAGCCACCCAGGGATGGCGTCTCGGATGGCGTCTCGGGTCCACTGTATGTGAACAGGAGACCTGTTACCTGACAAGCCGTCAAGA